TATGCTATGCTGTGTACAAGGCCAGATATCAGCTACGCCGTTAGCTTAGTAGCTAGATATCAAAGTAATCCGTGACTGGAACATTGGTCTATGGTGAAGCATATACTCAAGTACCTGAGAAGGACTAAGGAGTGCATGCTAGTTTACCGTCCAGACAGCTTGTTACCTCTGGGTTACAGTGATTCTGATTTTTAGTCAGATAAGAATGAAAGTAAGTCAACCTCTTGTTATGTGTTTACCTTGAGAAGTGGAGCCATTTTATGGATTAGTGCTAAGAAGAAATGCGTGGCAGACTCCACCATGGAAGCTGAGTACATAATAGCCTCAAAGGTAGCGAAAGAGACAGTTTGGCTCAGAAACTTGTTAGTGGACTTAGAGGTGATTCCGAGTTTGCCATGTGGTATCACCATGTACTGTGATAACAATGGAGCAGTAGCAAACTCAAGGGAACCACGAGCCCACGGAGCAAGCAAACACATAGAGACCATCTTATTCCTATGATAGTTGGTAGAGGAGATGTTGATGTTGACAAGATTGCATCTGAGGACAACCTAGCTGATCCCTTCACGAAAAGTTTGCCGGAGAAGGTCTTCATCAAACACATGATATGAATGGGAGTCAAATGCATGGCGATAGGATTGACATAGGTCTTTTAGAATAACGGATTGATAGAACTATACTTGTAAAAGCAAAAGCTTTAAGTATAAGTTGAAGATTATTAGTGTTATATACTAAAAGCTTGGCCTTAGATGATATTACACTTTTGCCCTTTATGAATGAGAAACAAGTTAGATTAAACAAGTTCTATGTTCTGTTGTTTTGCATTAGATAGTGTCAGTCGTCATCGGACGAACCGAAGATCATTCTATCATTTACACGCGAAACAAGAATAATGGTTCACAACCTAGATGGACATGAACACTCCATCGTGAACGATTGTAGTGTCAACGGTACAGTTTGTCTTGACTGATTAGTTGCACTCGACATTTATGTATTGAACATGATCCCAAAGAGAAGTAGTTCGTTTTATACTGATTGTCGTAAACGAACTAGACCTCGATTAATTACTGCGTTCTCTTAACCCGTAAAATATTAAATAGACATATACATGCAAAATTTATTGCTTTGATTCAAGGGTGAGGTTTAGTGAACCGGACCAATAGACCCACTGTCTTGGGTAATATTGGTGTACTAGTACAACGCCCATGTATTACAGGGGTGTTTGCTATTTTTTTCTTAAAATCTAAAATTAATGAGAAAAAGTAGTTGAAAATTTAATTACCTTTTATAAAAATATATATATTATTATATATTTAGTATGACACTTTTTTATTTGTGCGACTTACCTGTGTTATATTATAATAATTTTTTTAACTTACAACATATAACTACATTAAATATAAATATATCAACTGAGAAATGATTTTATTTTTCTAATGAATTTTAATAAATATTATTTTTTTTATTATTATAAAGATAAATATAGTTTATTTATTTCATATATACAGTATGGATATTAAATCGAAGATCATCAAAAGATGTATAATTTGATATATTATATATGTAAAACCGATAAGAAATACAAAAGTTATCATCTTTTAAAATACATTTACAATTCAATAGCTGATTTGAAGTAAGCAAATCAAAAGTCGGGGATATAATAGTCACTTAGTTTCTCATTATGTAAATTACAAAGAATTAAAGGGTTATATTAGTAAAAGTGATATAAAATACTTAAGTTAGCTAAATAATATTTATGGAATGTCCAAACCTAGATTATTAATTATTGGTATATCAATATTATTTGTCCAAACCTAATTACGAAGCGTGATTCTTCGCCAAGTAGGATTTCGAATCATCAGAAGCAGCCATATAGACTCAGCGCATTCGGGAATTATATATAGGGAGGATGTATGATGTGCTACTAGGATATTTACGGTTACCATGTACGCTTAGTTTGATGATGTCCCCGAAGTGAGTTCATGAAGGATTATTATTCTAAACCCTGCAGTGGATTAAATTCCGGCATAGTATGAATGTGATGAACGAGGGCTAACTTCGGTGAAATAATAATAAATTAATTAATTCTTGATTGTCAGTAATTGAATATTAATGGACATTATATCTTAAACAAGGGAGATAATTGGAGTAATTATTATTGGAGTCTCAATTGTAATTTGGGCTAGAAAAAAGGAGTTTATGTTGGTGGCCCATTACTATTATTTAATTAATTAGTATAGTGGGATTGACCCACAAGTATTTTAAATTAAGTAAGCCCTATTCCTAATCTCCTAAGGGTCCCTACTGTAGCTCTATGTATACACCATTAAGTTCATGGGAAGAGATGAGTTGGAACATTATTACACATACATAATTTCGGTCGCCCCCATCGTCTCTCTCTCTCTCTCTCTCTCTCTCTCTCTCTCAGTACCCATTCGAGTTTTATCTTCTTCTTGTTGCTCCATCGGTACAACTTAAAGAAGGGTGCTTGAGATATACAGTAGAAGGTCCACTGGTTTATTGAGATATATATATATAATCAACCCCGAAGATCAACCGGTGTCAGCGGAAAGTAGACCCCAGCCAATCAAACCAGCCGCGATGCCAATCGAGGACCACTGCAGCTCCGCAGGTGAGACGCAAGCAGCCCGGACACGCGACGCGCCACTGCGACCCACACGACGCACTCAGCTCTGTGACTCGCACACGCCCGATGACCCGACCCGGTTCCCGACGCGATTCGATCCACGAGCTTGACCCGACTCGATTACGAGCCCGACGTTCCGTTCGCGATCTAATCCAATTCGTGTGTTTATCTCGGTCATCCATAAATTTTAAGCCTTAAGCTTTCTACATCGAACCCTTACATCCGCTATGCATAGATTTACGTTTGCTATTGAGTTCGTGATTTGTACATAATGAGATCCTCACATTTCCCAACACATACTAGTAGCTAGGAGAGAATGTGTAGACCCATTAAGAATAGGTTTCGTGACCTATGTTTAACGGGTTAGTAAACCTAGGTGTAGTAGCAGGTCGGTCGACCTTAGTATAACAGGTGGGTAGATCTACTGACAGACCTGGCGGTAGTAGGTAGGCGATTTAACGTGTAGTATAAACATATGGACCTAATGAAGATATATTTGGGCGACTGATGAGTAGTTATATGGTTGACAAACTTGTAACTATTATGATGGGATTGGCAGTACAAGTAGGTAAGATGACCTATTGGTAATGCGTGAAGTTAAGAGACCTGTCTATAATAGACTGGGGACCCATGGGTAATGTTTTTGCTTGTCCCATTTTTGTTGCGTTTTTATTTATTATTTTATCTTTCTTTTTCTCCCGTTTTCAGTCTTTTCGTTAGTTTTATTCGTTTTTAGTGTTGATTGTATGTTTCGCGCTATTTCGGTTTTCTGTGTGTTTTCTGTATATTTTTTCAGTTTTTCTTTGTTTATGATGTGTAGGTCGAAAGTCTAGGGAGGACCGGATTTTCGGCCAAAATTGACCATGCGAGCATAAGTATATAGAAGGTTTCGTTGGCAACGTACAGGAAAAAGCAGAATCGAATTCCGATACTAAACGAGCCCGAGACGCGAAGTCATGCATGGAAGCAACCGGCCCTAGGCCCAGCGCCCCGCACACGACGCGCCGCGGCAGTGCCACAACACCAACAGAAGCTGTCCTTTCCAGCGCCACGCCCGCGCAGCTCTCCGCGCCGCGACACCAGCATGCCTCGCGTCGTGCCACACTGCCGTGCCACGGCAAGCCTTCCCTTCGCGCCGCGCCGGTGCCGCGAGATTGACAGAGCAGCCCAGCACGCCCTTCGCGCTGCGCCATGGCTCGCGCCGCGCCACACTGCCATGCTACGCCCGTGTAGACTCCACGCCGCGCTAACAGTTCCCCTCCCGCGCCGCGATGAAGTCCCGCGCCGCGATGCAACATCATCCTGTGCCGTGCTGCTAGTGCCGCGCCGTGATGCGGTCCCCTCCCGTACCGTGATGCGCCCATGCACCGCGACACCTTGCCTGCCCCTATAAAAATCATGCGCTGACCTTTCATTTGTCTGTCTCTCTCGACCGGGTGAAAACCCTATGTCCTGAGAAAACACGAAATGATTTTTCTCCTTCCTTTTTCCTTCTTCTTCTTTGTTTCTCTTCCTTCCCTTCACCATTTTCTTCCATTTTTCTTCTTCGTTTCATTATTTTCAAGGATTAAGCTTGTAATTCAAATTCAACTCTGGGAATTGCGATTTATTGTAAGTTGTTCTCTTTATTTTTAATTCATGAATAATGGTTAAATTGAAAGGGATGATTGATTGTGTTGAATTTGATTTTCGTAGCTAATTCTATTTGTTAGGGATAGGGGATGATTGTTCTTGTTTGAATTGTATTTTGTCGGGCTTGAATTGTTCGTTCTTATGTGAGTTGATTTAATTCAGAATTGATGAAATTGAGCTTGATAGTTTGATATAATCGAAGGGTGACACTTCGATCTTGTAATTGGTAACAATTGGATATTGAGTTGTCGAGTTTGGTTTTGTTTATTTTCTATCATTAGTTGATTGAACATCTTCTAGTTTAATTAGCATCTTTTAGAACCGAAAGGGGAGAAGTCGTAGAATTAGGCTCGCATGAGATAGACGATTTCGTAACTGAATAGTCTATAGGTTTTGGGTTGAAATACGCGCTTGTCGATGACCCGTCCCTTGTTACGAAAAGTTATTGGGATGGGATAGTTGGCATGTGTCGTATACTCGAGTTTGTTCGTCTATGTTAAATCCCTTGCTACGAAGAGCTATTGGGAGCGAATCGCTAGATGTCTAAGCGAGAGTGTCAATCTAGAATATAATGATTTATGTCCCGAATTGCAAATTGAACTTGAATTGATTATCCCCGACTCCCTAGCTTCTCCATCATTATTTTGTTTATATTTTTAGGTAGATTATTGCTTTTCATTATTTCTTAGCTGATAATTTATCAAACCCGCTATCTGATTAGAATGTTTAGGATTTTATTTTTTTTTGTGTATGATCGATACCTTTTCTAAATTTCGAACAACCTTCCTCGTGAGATCGACCCGGGAAACGAATCTTTCGATTCGGTACTCGGCAAAAAGAATAATTTGTACACAACAAATTTTGCGCCGTTGCCGGGGAAGGCAAGTAGGATATTTAGTCTTGGTATTGATTTTATATTCCGTGTTTCTCTTTATTTTGTATTTTTCGTGTTTTTGTTCTTCCTTTTGTGCTTCTTTGTTTTCTTTTTGTCTATTTAGTTTTTGTTTTCTTCGTTTTCTTTTTTTGTTCATGGCTACGCGTGGTTGTTCTATTTTGGTGTGCAGGAGATATGAACTTCAACCGTGCTTCTCCTATCCGCACACCCAACCTTGGGGTTATGAGCCGAGCTATCACGATGGGTACCATAGCAATTCATATCCGTACTCTTCCGAGCAGTGCTGGGATCCTTACACAGTCGAGCAAAATTATGAGTCCCACGAGTTTAACGAGAAGCTCGACCGTATCTACGTTTTTGCAGCACCCCTGTTATCTCAAGAAGAAGAGACCGTAGCCTGGTGTGCCCGTCCGAACCAGCCACCTCCTTACCATGATTCTTGGGACTTCGGCCAGACCTTATCATATCTTTACGAGCAGCAGTGGGATTCCTGGCCCGTTGAGCAGCCATATGAGTCCCTCGAGGATTCTTCAGAGTACAATGCCAAGCTCGACCAGGCCCTCACTCTTTTGGCATCCCAAGAGGCCCGTAGGAGAAATCTGGAGTCTAGAATCGAGCACTTAGTGGAGCGTATGCAAGCCTTAGAGGATTGAGTTACCAGTGTCACTCCCGAGCCCATCGCTGAAGGCGAATCTACACGTAGTAATGAAGCTCGGGAGGCTGCTTTGACTTACGATGAAAAGCTCAACCTCATCCTTGCTCGCATATCTGCTCAGACCACTCGAGATGTGGAGATTGAGCTCGGATGTGCTCGACTGAGCGCATAGATGGAGATTCTTGCAGCACATATCGGCTCAATCGAGGGAAAAGTCGTCGACCCCCACCTCATGCTTGATACTCAAGCCCGCACGCTGAACCAAATGTGTGAGGCCGAAGAAGAAGATGATGAGCTCCAGCGAGACATTGATGATATTTCAGAGGAGGAGGTCCATGGGCTTGATTCTTAAGCCAACCTCCCACCTCCGAGTTAGAGCACCCGTCTTCGAGGCCCTTACGCTGTGTTACAAAGTTGGGAGGATTCAGTTCGACTTGATCCACTGATGAGCTTATATTTTCGGAGGTTGACGATAGAGCTCGAGTGGGAAAAGCTCTGCGTCTAGAGTTGGGGATTGCTTGTGCTCGAACCCACTTCATCCAGAACATCGCCACCCGAATCCACTGTGCCAGCCTTCTCGCCAAGCTTCCCATGCTACCACTTCTGGAAAACACGAAGGCATGGCACGACCGTCACTTCTTCTTAGATCCCGGTTGAGTTCCCCTCAGGTTTCGTCAAGCTAATGACGTTAAACAAGCGCTTCTTGGGAGGCAACCCAAGTGATTTACTGTTTTCGTAGATATTTTCTTTTATGCTTTTTAGTTTTATTCTTCGAATAATGGGAGTTTTGGAGTTTTGTGTTTTTCTTGGCAGGTACGAGATTACGATGCATGAGGATTGTGTTGAATGAGTACTATCGAGGTTCTGGGGCTAAGCATAGGGGAGCGACTTGCACGTGAATGTTTGTTCTCCTCGAGGCGTTTCGGTTTGCACACCCTTTTCCTTTTTCTCTTTTTGAGTTCTTTTTCTTTCGTCTTTTCTTTTGAGTTTGTGTCTTGGGTTAGCTACTAGTGTGATTCATTATGTGAAATTGTTAGGTCCTTTATTTGACTTCCTGGTTTTATGTTGAAGCAATGAGGTCATTGCCTCATTTTAAGTGTGGGGGAGTCTAATTGGATTTTGCATGCTTATGTGGTGGACCAGTCTAGTTTTAAGATTTTGTTGTGTCTTTTTTAGCTTGGACTCTGTGTTAGAACCCATGAGGATCTCGATATGCACAAATCACGGACAAACATTCAACATAAACCTATGCGCAACAGATCTAAAGGTTTGATGAAGAAAACTTACTGCTTAAAATTTATGTAGATCTGGCTGGCCCGGACAGTTGACCGCAAATCAAATCTTCTCGGAATCGAACAAACTTGACCAATCCAGAAAGCTGACGTCACGGCGAAGTCAACGGCGTTGACCGATCAAAAATCAGACTTCTCACGCGCTCTCACGCGCAATGACAAACTCCAGCGACTGCTTCCTTGCGGCGGCGCGTGGCGGCGCGTGCGGCGGAGTCCGGCGGCGATCTCGACGGCGATCTCTGTTGGAACCCACGAGGATCTCGATATGCACAAATCACAGACAAACATTCAA